GCAGGCACCAACATCCTCATCCAGAGCTCCACTCACAGGATAAGGTCGAGCCCTGGAGAGGCAGAGTGTGGCCAGTGTCCATAGAGGTGATACAATATGTTCTCTCTGAAGCTCAATTTCTAGCAGAAAATTATGAGAAATGCAAAGAAACAGAAAAGTGTGACCCCTACACATGAAAACACACAGGCACAGAAACTGCTTCTGAGAGGACCCAGATGTGGGGCTTGGTAGACAACGATGTCAAAGCAACTGTTACAAATATGTTCATGGAACCAAAGAGAACTATGTCTAAAGGATTAAAGCAAGGCCTAATGACAATGACTTATGAGATACAGAATAAGGGAAATTACAAAAATAACCAAATGGAAATTCTGGAGTTAAAAAGGATAATATCCCAAATGAAAACTTTACTAGAGAAACTTAATAGATTTGAACTGCCAGCAGAGAATCAGGGGATTTGAAGATAAACTGGTAAAGATGTTGCAATTTGAAGTGCACAGAAGAAAAAGCAAATGAAGGAAAATGAGTGGAGCCTCCGAGAAATGTGTACAGCATTAAGCACACCAATATATGCATAATGAGAGTACCACGGGGTGGACACAAGATATCCACACCCACCCTACATACACATCACAGCAAAAATGCCGAAAGATGAAGACAAAAAGAAAATCTTGAAACAACCATAAAAAAACCCCCAGCTCCTATGCACAATAAAACTGCAGTGAGATAAGCAGCAGACTTCTCGAGAGAAACAAGAGGGTTGAAGAGACAGTAGGATGACATCGTCAAAGTGCTGGAAGGAAAAACCACTAACTAAACAAACACAAGAATAAAAACAACCAAACTGCCGTCCAATGATCTCTATCCAGCCACTCAAAGCCACAGTGAGACACCACTTCATACTCACCGGGAGAGCCGGAAGGAGGAGAAATCAGAACCCTCATACATTGCTGGGAGGGTACGAAATGGGATATAGCTAACGCAGAACACAGTCGGGAAATTCCTCCAAATGCTACAATAATGCTACAGTAGAATTGCCATAGGAGGCAGCAATTACATTCCTAGGTATAAACACAAGAGAAATGAAACGTATGTCTACGCAAGAACTTGTACACAAATAGTCGTGTTAGTCACAAGAACCAAAAGGAGCCCAGACAGTGATATCCATCAACTGCTGAAAGGATACATAAAAAATGTGGTATATTTAGCAATAAAAATAATGAAGTTTTGATACACGTTACAACGGGAACGAAACACGAACACATTATACTAAGTGAAAGAAGCCAGTCACCGAGGACCACAAGTTGTATGCTTCCCTTTATGAGAAATTACCAGGTTAGGCAAATCTATAGAGACAGAAAGTTAAATTAGTGGGGTCTAGGACTGATGGGGCTTGGGGGAATGGGGACTGCCAGGGGTTTCTTTCTGGGGTGATGCAGAGTCTCAGATTAGGTGTGGTGAGGCTTGTACAACTCTGGAAATATAGTATAAACCACTAAATTATACATTTCCAACAGGGGAAATCTCTATGATGTATGAACTACATATCAAAAAAGCTGTTTTGTTTTGTTTTTTTTTTAAATAGTACCTAGCTGTTAGCACGGCCATTAGGCTAAGCTAACATAAGCTAACATAACAAATGTTAGCCAAGCATGTGGCACAAAATCCTCCATAAATTAGGGTCGCTCCTTCTGCTACTGTCCTGACCATTGCTGTTTCCCACACTGTCACTGGCGTGGTCATTCAGGAAAGGCACCTGCTGTGTGACACGCCTTCACATGCCTATGCCTGGTGATCACAAAAGACCTGTGATGTCAATTAGGTAGAGACATAAGAATTATACACACGGCTTTTTTTAATAACCGTATTTAATGAAATATGAAATATTTGTTTAAGATTTTATTTATTTATTTGAGAGAGAGAGAATGAGAGAGAGAGAGCACGAGAGGGAAGAGGGTCAGAGGGAGAAGCAGACTCCCCGCCGAGCAGGGAGCCCGATGTGGGACTCGATCCCGGGACTCCAGGATCATGACCTGAGCCGAAGGCAGTCGCTTAACCAACTGAGCCACCCAGGCGCCCCGAAATACGAGATATTTTGAGTCAAGGTACTCGGTGGCAATATTAGGATGACTTTAGAGGTCTTTCTAGGGCTTACAGATAGTGCAGTGGAGAATTCCACGACCTCGACAGATATTAGCAGTCTTTCCTGGGGCAGTCTATTTCTCCAGCAGGCATCACACCCCGATTCTACTGTAAGGATTCAGCTTGGACAAAACTACCCCAAAACCATATGTGGATGCTGCCACCTCCCAGCAAGGCAGGGTGACGCACCCTCTCTGCCCCTCCTGGCACCCAGACGTGTCCTATTTCATCACTGAGGTGACACTGCCCATTCCCTGCCTCTCTCATCACACAACACGGATCTGAAGTGCATTTATTATTCACGAGACCCTCAGGAAAACACTCATTTTACTTTGTCGAGAGTATTTATTTACTATAAATAAGGCGATCAGCTCTTAACTTTGAGGGTTTTCCTCAAATCCGTTTTTAGAGAATGATGGCAAAGTGCTCCAAAACACAAAAGCTGAGAACCAGGTGAGAAAACTATCTATCAGATTGGAAATTGCATTGTCTCACAATTGTCAAGCATGTTCTCTACCTGAAGTCATTAAACTCTTAGTTAAGCAATATATTTTAGCTTACAGGTGATAGTCCCATACTGTAGCTAAAACCAGGAGAATAGAATATAGATTTTCTTTTCTCCCCTCCCAGGGATCTTATTAGAATTCTACTGGCACCTGATGGCCGGCGAGTAGCTGGGTCAACCAGAAACACCGAGGGGGGAAGCAAAAGCTTAGCTGAGATCAACGTGGGACTTTAATTAAATCAAAAACAACAACAACAACAACCCAAGAACAGTAAGAAGAACAAAAAAGGAGCTGTCCTCTAATATAAAAACATGCCATTTTTCATCACACTCGAAGAGATTTGAAAGATGAGCAATGGGATAGATATATCCGTCAGGAAAGAAAGAACAGACTTGGCAGCCACTTGAGGGATGATCCCATTCAATAGTTATTATTATCTGGCTAATGAAAGATGACTTCTTATCCTCCCTTTTTCTTCTTCAAAATGTTTCTGATTTGTCCTGTCATATGGCAAATGCCCCTGAACCCCACACTCATAAGTCTGGTTGAGGTCATTTCTGCCATGATCACCTACAGACAAAATAATCGGTGAAGTTGGATTTAATGTATTTGCAAGATTAATGAGGAAAGCATACAGATTTCTATTCCAGTGACCAGAATATTAAATTCCAGGGTTCATGATTCAGAGGAGTCTTTGCTCACTTTCACTTCTTTATCTCACACGTAGTTGTCACTTACAATTGTGCCGCTAACGCCCATGGAGATCAAAGAGAACCAGAAATCTCAAGCTGCTGCCAGCCAGCTCTGCTCATGGGACGACTCCAGAGCAGGGCTCAGCCATCGGGAGAGGCTGGGCTCACAGAGACCCAGGGCATCAATAAACCTGCACCCCTGCTGGGTTAAGGGGAAGCACCTCGCCCAATCTCCACAAACAAATCCAAGGCTACTAGCTCTGAAGTCATGACATACCTCCCTACCACACAGCTGGCTTCCATTTCCGGTCTGAGCCTTTGTGAAAGAAAGCCAAAGAAGAGATCTCTTCCTTTAGTGAATTATATGAAGAGTTCTAGCCTTTTCATTAAGGAAGATCTGTCCTTGGGAGAACACGGAAGAAATCAGCCCCACTGTCTTCAATCCTAAAACTTATGCCAAATAACCACCACCTTATCCTTGGGAAATCCCTATTGTAGCCATTCTCCAATGAAAAGCCCTTTACAAATTAGGGGAGACATGGAATCAAGCCATCCCAAACGCAAAGCAGGCGTTAATATTTTTTGAAAATATTTAACGGGATTTAGTATTTGCATATATGTAGTATTTGAAGGGACTGGTTACAAATGCCACTTCAGCATCTAGTATCCACACACACTTGCGCAAAATCCTTATAAGATGCAGAGTCTGACTTCACTTTTTCCAAAGAGAGAAAAAAATTTAAGACAGACTTAAAGCATTTTCTAGAAATGTAATAAATATTTAAAAACCTGTTTGCCAAACCTTTACTATGGTCAAGACCTTAAAATATCTTGGCCACACACTTTTGCTCAGCTACCTAAGTCATGTCTTGCTCGTCTGTGTCCGAATGATTAATGTACTCAAGACTCTAAGTATCTGCTAAGGTTTTCTTCCCTAAAAATATGGAAATATTTTAAGAAAATTAAAAGACAAGGCACTGAGATTTCGGCTTGGGGCAGCATGAGGGATGCAGGTATCTGCTCAATGGGGCCAGACGATCCTCACTGTAAGGTCCCAGCAAAGGGGACCACCAGAAGCATTCAAGTGATGTTCAGTGTCTACATCAGATACTAAGAAAATGGGGAAAGTGCTACAGAATCATTGGTCCAGGAAGACTTGGACTGCCGGGCCATGGTTTCATCACGGCATTTGGAACGAAGGCCCTATTCTGTAAGCATGTGATCCTCAACAGAATGGCAGAAGTAAAGTGCTTCCAAGCATCGGATCAAATAATCCACCCGGCCCATCGGTTTTGTACTGTTGTTCTATTTGGAATGAAGACATCTCTGCAGCGCTGGCAATGGACCAGTAAGTTATGGTGGAAGCGGCCCCTGGGAAGTTCTCAACGTCAGACCTGGCCATGAGTCTGAAGTATGATTTTCACACTGGCGTGCTCTTCCCTGGTTCTTGTAAAACAACAACAGAAGTCTGGGCACGTGCTTCTACTGCCAAGTGTGCCAAAGGATGACATATTGTAGACCGTATTACTTGGCGATTTCCTCCCGCTTTTACAGACCAAAGAAACGTGTCCTGCCATAATAGTGGAACCAGCTACAATCTCTCAAGGGAAACAGCGCCCTGTCCCCTATCACACACCATCCGCACCCGAGCTGTACTCACCAAACCTTTGCATGTTGAGAGAGCCACCGAGGAGTTTTTGTGGGATCGTAAGGAGCCTTGATAGAAACAGAAATCCTCAGGTGGGAAGGTGTGCACGGACTTAGTACCTCCCTTCCCCAGTGTCTGCACGATAAATCCGGGAGCCATCAGGTTGTTGGAAGCTTTCAGCTCCATGTGGAAGTCGTGCCTGAGGCCCTTCAGCCGAAGGTGGAGAGACTCCACCCCGAGCTGGGCCAGTGCTCTCTTCCTCCTTTGAGGGTGTGTGATTTCGTGGGACACATAGTCTCCATTGTGGTCAACCTCATAGGGAGACACCAGGTCATATTCTGAAAGACAAAGAGAAGGTGTGGCTGAGTAAATTCAGGATTCTGAAAAGAATCAGGCAGTCCTGGAATATAATTTATTGCCAGAGGACACTTCCACCCAATAAAAATGATGGGAGGAAACTTCAGCATCGAGCCAACCTCAAATCCATAACGTGGGATGTGAACAATCATAATCAGGAGGGAAAATCTTCAAAGTGGCCTTGAGACAAGTCTCTGCTGCCCCATAATATGTTATTCCCAATCCAGCAAAATCTACGGCACTCCAAAGGAAAAACGAATCACAGACCAAAGAAAACCGAAAATGGACTTTTAGGATTACATTTCATAAAGTTTACTTTGCACCCATGATAACATGTAATCATTTATGCTTCTAAATATTTTTTAGCCATGCTCGCTTTTATAAAAATCTACATTGAGCTGACAAGAAATTTTAGCTTCAAAATACCAACAATTTATCAGAAAGCAGTTAAAAAGACAACTATGATGGCTACTCTTTGTTAATATTTTAACAGTTAATTTTTAAATCAAGGAATCCTACAAATCATATGCAGACATATTCCAGATGCTAATGTTTCCTATACGGTCTGCTCCCACTGCATACTGCTGTCCACCCTTTCACTGGCCTGAGTTCTTGGCACGACATCAGAGTTCACCACCCAGGGTCTTCCCCAATGTGCGCCATGGTCTTCTGCCCACTCCGATTCATAGTATGCAGCCTAAAACACATTCAAATACATAATTTTTTGAAATGTGAAGAAAGGGGCTTTCTGCTTTCAGGGCACTCACACAGGCCTGTGGGGCATCAGGGGCCGACAGTGTCACAGTGTGGCCCTCTCTGTGGAAAGCATAGATGGAAGCTTTGCAGCTCCTTTCACTATAAAATGTGCACCCAGGAGGCTGTGAAAGTCTCATAACTGGGACTCTTTTCTGCTTTAGTGCGAGTGGGACATTCTTCTTGGAGCCGTAAGATAAAACACAGAGATGGCCTTTGGTCAGAAGCAAGCAGAATTTGGGTAATTATTTTTTCTGGGAAAATGAGGTTTTCTTCACAACCAATCTGTTTCAGTGCAGGTGTCGGTCCATGGGTCCCTGTGCCGTCAGGGAAAGGGAAAGGTCACACTCAAACAGAGTAGGCATCTGGCACCGGTCAGAAATGGCACATGGTGGGGTGGGAGGGAGAGAGAGGGAGCAGTTGGTGAGGACCTGCCTGGAGCCCCCCACGCTGAAGCCAGTGGCAAGGTGTGTGTCCAAGGCCGGCATTCAACTCGATGCAGTGACAGGATCACCCAACGATCAGTTCTGACCTCAGCAACCCCAAGGAGGCTGTCTCCTCCGGGCAAGAGCTTTGATTTCCGACCGCAGGGGCCTGGCCCTGCCACTCAGGGATCAACAGGTACCCGGAGGGTCACGGGCAGTGGGTTATAGCAGATCACAGGACCACCAACCATCAAAATCTATGTTGAAGCAGAGGATTTGTGTCCCAGAGGGCAAACTTTATTGGGCCTGTCTCTTATTTTACTTAGGAAACCGAGAAAATAAAAAAAAATCTGGTTCAACTGTGTGCAATGACAGGAGAAAGGGGAAACAAGTCAGGGATTTGGTCGTCTGGTGTAAGGATGCGGCTGCAGGCTGTCCTGGGCCACTCCGAGACAAGTGAAGTGTGCACACCTTTCTACCTCAGGTTCTCCCCGCTGCCTTCCACATCGCCAGCCTCCTGGACCAAGCGGGGAGGTTGGTGCAAGTGGAGGTGTTGCCCCTTTCACCCTGCCCCCGGGATGCTCTCCCCCTCACCCCAAGTCTGTGTCTATTCCGACAGAGGCTGTGGACACGTCCAAACACTGCCTAATCAGCACACTTACTGCACATAAACACATGATTACCACTTAAAAAAATCAAATTGTTTCCAGATGATATAAGCCACATTCTTATGACCTTTGTTTTGGAGGACATATAACATGCATCCTTTATCTGGAGGGGACATACAGTATCTACTCTCAAAATAGTGACTGATAAGCCTCTTTTACATAAACACACACAGCATCCTGTTGATAAATGTTGGACAACCAGCTATCTGAGGGGAAAGAATAAACGGCCTGCTTTACTGCATTTGCCAATTCCCCTGGTGTAAGATTTCCCACCGTGGCTGATCTCCAGCACCAAGGTGATGTCACTCCACGCGGAGCGCAGAAGAGATACCCAGTAACACATGAGTACACACGCAGTATCTCCCACACACAGAAACGATTAATGCAAATAACTCAAGAGCACAGATAAGAGTAAAATAATGATGAAGGATGAGATTTGCATATTTTAATTTTGTTTTTAAAAGGGCTTGTTTCACTATAACTTTATATATTTTACTTTTCAGTGACCAGCTCTGCCAAACTTAAAGGAAAGTAACCATCAGCTCTGGACGACTGGTACAGGCCACCAGCTCCACAAACAGCAAAGCCACGCTTTGTGATCTATGACAATCTCTTCCCAAGAACGAGGAAGAAAATGCACGATGGGAAGAAGACCCGTTTTTTCAATTTAGTCCACTGGTTCTCAACCAGTGATTCCTCTCCCACACCTCCGGGGAGACAAGTGTCTGAAGACATTTCCATCTGTCAAGGAGTAGGAGGCGGACGGTGGTGCTCCTGGGATCTAACGACCCAATCCTGAGATGCTGCTACAGAGCCTTCAATGCACCGGGTAGGCTCTCGGGACAAAGTGATAATACCGCCAAGGCAGGCAATCCTGGTTCAGTCCCACGACAGTCCTCTCTATCAAATGTGTACTCTGGGTTATGTGAAAGTGAATGTGGAAAAGGTCATCACTACAGAATTCAATGAATGAACAAAATAAGCATGGCATCTCATCATACTCCTATTACTATCTGGAAATAAATCAATACATGACTGCAATAGACGGAAAAAATTAACTTTTGAGCTTATGTTTTAAGATTATAATCCCCACAACTATTGGCTTGTGATTTCAAGAAAAAATTTGTGCGAGGGGCGCCTGGGTGGCTCAGTCGTTAAAGCGTCTGCCTTTGCCTCGGGTCATGATCCCAGAGTCCTGGGATCGAGCCCCGCATCGGGCTCCCTGCTCAGCGGGAAGCCTGCTTCTCCCTCCCCCACTCCCCCTGCTTGTGTGCCCTCTCTCTCTGTCTCTCTCTGTCAAAATAAATAAATAAAATCTTAAAAAAAAATTTGTGCGATTCCTAATCTTTAAGAATCCTTAATTTTTCAAGTTTTTTAAAAAAGATTTTATTTACTTATTTTAAAGAGAGAGCGAGTGCACTCCAGAGCATGAGCTGGGGGAGAGGAAGAGGGAGGGAGAGAAGGACAATCTCAAGCCAACTCCCAGCGGAACCTGGAGCCGGACGCGGGGCTCAATCCCATGAGCCCGAGATCGTGACCTGGGCTGAAGTCAAAAGTTGGACGCTTAACCAACTGAGCCATCCAGGCACCCCTGTTTGAGACTCCTTTAAATGAGACCTGTATCCTATACACCCTTGGTTAAGGAGAAAATCTCCACATATGGCTACTCCAGTCGGTGGTCAGAACTCCTTGATTTCAAGAGGTTTTCTGACCACAGCCTCAAGTCCAAGAACACTCTGGTTTCAAACTGATTGCATGAAGTGTAGTCCACCTGAGCATGCAGGGCTGGTACTCAGTGACGTCTGCACCTTGCATCCTACCCCTGTACTCAGTGACATCACATCCATAGCTTGGAAGCAGCCACGGTGCAAGTATTTTGACCCATTTACCCCATGGGAACCGGAAAACGCCCTAAATCCGGGCTCCAAAGAGCCTGTCGTTAAAGATTGACAAGCACGCTACCTGAAAGAGACGATCCTGTCTTATGTTCCCTGAATGTCTGAATGTGAATCAATATAATCTTCCAGTGCACACACACAAACAACAGGTCTATTATGTACGATGAAACCCATTTCTAAAGAACTTCTAAACCTTGCCTTGGAAGCATGACTTACTCTAGAATCAAAAGGTAACAAATATGTGCTACATCTTGGCTCTTAATAGGAGCCACTATTTTTATTACAAAGGCAAATTTGTAGGAAAAGCATTAAAATCTCCCACTAAGGAAAAACAACTCTGAATCAGCCAAAATGAAACAGGCATACTTAAATGTCTGAAAACAGTTTAGTTATCCACCGTGGCATCAAGAATAGAGGGCGTTCTCTTTCCCGCTGTGGAACTGCTTCAGACACCGAGGAAAACTGGCAATCAATCATCGGCTGAATTATGCGGGAAATAAACCTTATGGCCAAAAAGAGCGATTCCAAAGCCAATTTGTATATCAGATACCTAGATGTGCAACAGTTACACAAAGTGCACCCTGGCCCTACTGTTCTACGGCGAAACAAGGAACCTGCTGAGCAGAAAGAGTCTTTTTCTCTGGTAGTATGAAAGCTCTCCAGTGACACCCGCTCTCTCTGGACTTGGCTGTTTCCAATTAAAGACCTAAAACACACAGAGGGTAGGTAGGTAGGAGGCTGGGCTTTGTCCACTAGGCTGTGACTTCACTGATGATGGCTCACACCTTCCCTTCCAGTTTCTGACCAGGCGAGGTATGTGGTTGTCGTGGCAATGCTTGGTCTGTGACACCAGCCGAGGTGCCAGGTGATTCGAGCCGCATGCCAGCCAGGCTGGAGTCCAGCTCACGGGAGTCCGTCCTGGCAAGGAGCAGGGGAAGCTCACTTGGGCAGGAAGGCTTTGACTTCTCCCTCCGGAAATGGTTCTCTGTCTGTATTGCTCCTACCTTACAGAAAACTTATTTTCTATAAAATGCTATACAGTCCCCTGAAAAATCTTCTGAGACCTTTACGAATTTTCATGATTTTAGAGAACTAGAATTTTTACAAAAACTTTTTTCAGAAGTGTGTGTGGAGAGACAAATGTAATATGGATAATTATATTGTGGAATGCAGCCTGAGAGAAACATGAAAGAAGACAAGGGCAAGCCCAAGAAGGTGACCTTTAAAAAGATAGATAATTACCTTTCTCCTGCAATTACAGAGCCAAAAGTGTTTTTTGTTTCATATCACTTACATCTAGCGCCCTCTGGTGGTGCTGAAGGTCTTCTGTTCCAGCGTTGACGTACTCACCACAGTATTTATAGACTATTCGTGTACTCACTCAGGACAGAATTCAAATAGTAAATGCATACGTCAGATTCTTGTCTTTATAAAAGGAGGAAAGCTATGTTCAAAAACTTTGAGTTATTAACTTTTCTATATTTTCCGAAAATACCCTGGGATAATCAAACCTCGTCCTTTATGTCGATCTATTGTTGGAAATGTTGCAAAGTACAAAACAACTGCCAAAGGATTGGGTTCAGATAAAAACCACCCAGCAACTAACATCCCACACCTGCCTTTCCCGTGAGCCTAACGCATTTCAGGGCAGAGACGATTATTGCCAGGGGATGTGAAATGTACCAATTCAGCTTGTCAACAGCACAAGTAAAACCATACATTGCAAAGCGATCAGACTTGTATGGCAAATCATGGCAGAAAGTTCGGGCATTGCTTAGGATGTCACAAACGCTAATTACCCATTCCATGCACTACATTGCAGTTATGTCCCAACTCCAGGAGAGCATCCACTTTCATACTAACTGGATCGGTATTGAGCAAAAACGGCTTTCTTTTGTCTCCTGCTCTTTAGTCAAGGATATACAGAGAGGCTTCAATTTAAAAGCCAGAGGAGGATCAGGAGGGGGTGAAGGGGTAGAGAAAGGAGTAAAGCGCTTTCTAATTTCCTGAACGCATAAATTAATAAAACCTCTAGATTATTCCTTGTTTTTTAAATGTTCTTATTAAATATGTATTGCTTGTTTTTCTCCCCTACCGCTTATGGTAATAACGCTGGTAAGCGTTACTGTTTCACAACGGAATACAATATAAATATCGGTGAAAGTCCACTCATAAGGCAAGAAGGCAAGGCACCATCCTCGGAGTGAGTTCGCAGAATTAGGAACATTCGCAGCACCTTATAAACCAGCGCCACTTGGTGAGGACTTGGAACCCCCCCCTTCCCCGCAGACCTACCGCCTTTTTCCATCCAGTCCAGCTGCGCCGCGGAACCCTGAGGACGCCAGACGCTCCGGCTCCCTGGCGAGGCCGCTGCGGGTCCCACGGAGCACGCAGGTGCCTGCTGGAAAACAGCGGCCACACCTCGGTGAGACCGGGACTGCAGGAGGGAAGCCGCGGGGCACCCGCCCCCACCGTCGGGGCTCACCTGCACAGCCACCTGCGCCAGCAGCAGCACACAGAGCGCCGCGCAGCCGGGGACCCGCAGGGCCCCGCCGCCCCTCGCGCCCCGCGCCCGCCGCCCGCGCTGCGTCCCAGCGGGGAGAATGCGCCGCTCCATCCAGGGGCGCTCGAGGTGCCCAGGGCCGCGGGATGGCCCCCAGCCAGGCGGCTGCAAGTGGGCACCGAGGACCCGGCCGGCCGGCGCGCAGGAGCTTGCCCGCAGCGCCTCCGCCGCCCGCGCGGGGTTATCACTGCGGCTCTGCGCGGCGCGGGGGGCGGAGTGGCGGCCGGGCGGCGGGGGCGGTGGTGGAGCACCAGCCCGCACCGTGGGAGAGCAGCAGGAGGAGGGGGGAGGGCAGGGAAGGCGGAGAGGATCCGCGAGGGGAGGAAGGGAGGGGGCGGGAGGAGTTGGCGGGGCCGGCGGGGTGGGGAGCCGGAGGAAGAGGGCAGGAGGGGAGGCAGACGGGGGAGGGAAGGGGCCGGAGAAAGCTGACGGCCGGGTGGGGCAGAGGGGAGGAGGGCTGGGGAGGATCCCTGCGCTCGCCGGCCGGGCGGTCGGCGCCTCGGCCAGCTCCCCGTGGGCGCGCGGCTGGAGCGGCGGCCGGGAGGCTCTGAGTGTGAGCAGCTTGAGCCGCCCTCCCCGTACCCTGTGAACCTGCCGTCGCGCCACACCGCGCCGGGAGCTGCCAGGCCCGCACCCCCAGGGCCAGACCTGTGCCGCCTCCGCACCCCCAGGGCCAGACCTGTGCCGCCTCAGGCGCAGACACCTGCCGCCCGCCTAGTGAGGCTGGGCTGCGCCTGGGCCCGCTGCGTTGGCCCTCGCGCTGCATGTGGGAGATCAAGTGCAGGACAGCGGCGCCCAGGGCTTCAGGGTGTCCTGCCTTTCTGAGTATACACAAACCCGTGCCTTGCTCTTGGCTTGGGGAGTGATGGGAGGCCCCGTGGTCCAAGAAGCAATGTCTATCTCCTGGTCAGTCCTGGATGTAGAGGCGCTCCTGGCCCCGGGGCCACCCGCCGTGGAGAGCCTGTGTGCCCAGCCGCTGGCTCTCTGCGTGTAGCCAATCCATTAGGAGGCCTGGGGGCTGAGGATCCCTGTGGGCCCGACTGGGGGCAGGGCTGCCAAGGGCCCAGGGAGCCTCAGGTGCTTGACCACTGGCCTGGCAGTGAGCCCAGTCAGTGTTCTGCCATGGTGTGTGTGAACGCGTGTGTATGCGTGTGGATGTGAGCGCGGATGTGCCTCAGTACCCACTTGTGTGTGCGCACGTGTGCGTGTGTATGTACCCGTGCACATGTGTGTAAGTACCGGTGTGCAAGTGCGCGCGTGTGTGTGTACCTGTGCGTGTGTGCACATTTACCCATGCGTGAGTGCGCACGTGTGTGTGTACGCACTTTGTGAGTGCACACGTGTGCCAGGGAGTGTTCTCACCACACGCATTGCCTGTGACCGCTCTGCTGCACGGGTTGCCCTTTTCCTCTCTGGTCACGGACCTTCGGCGGGTCCTGGAAGGCTGGGTTCCTACTTCTGCGGTTCCAGTGTCCCTCACATTCACTTTATCCCAGATTTGCCGGTTTTGCACATTTTGGAGAGGAAAGTGAAGAGCGGAAGGGTGACTGTGGTCTCCTGTTCCCTTTGCCCAGCTAGCTTTGAGCCTGTCCGTGTTTCTTACCTCTGGTGGTCTGGACATGCCAGATATCCCAGGCTTGGACAGCAGAACCACCAGGCTGAGCAGTGGCCGGCTCACTGGCTGTCTCTCTCATTCTCTCATATTCATTTATTTGAAAACAGGTCTTAAAGTGAAAACAGTTTTACTGAAAGGCCTGCTTTGGGGGTGGTCTTTAAAACACCTGCCTCCTCCCCTTCCTCCTGCGCTGGACAAGGGTCTGTCTCAGTGCAGGGGGCAGGGAGCCCAGCCTGAGAGGAACCAGAGGCTGAGGTTGGCTGGGCAGAGCCTCTGGGTCTGGCAAAACCTCTGCAGGAGGCTGCAGTTCCTTCTGTCCTGAGTGCAAGGCCTCACATGCTTGAGAAATACGGACCTCTATTTCTAATTATGCTGACTGTAACCTGCAAGGGGATCAGATTTTCCAAGTCTAGCTAAGATCCCATGAAGACACCCAGGGGTTCTTTTTTTATATGTTTAAACAGATGGAGTGAAAGGATTCAGTTTTAGGGTACTTTTTTTTCTTTTTGAATAGTACCCAATGAGTCTCTTTCCACTGTGAAGAAATCATATCCTTTACAGCTATGAGTGTTTTCCAGTTCTTTTAGCTGTTCACTGAATTCAATGCTCATCCCAGACCAGGAATGTGTCTTCCGTAACACAGAGCAAACACCAGCCTGGGGCCAGGCAGGGAGCTGAGCAGAGGGAGCCTGATGAGCTGGGTATGAGAAAGGCCTTGAAACAAGGTGGAAGGGAGGTGAGTTGTGATTTCCAGGAGGATGCATGTAGTTGATCTTGCCATTTCCTAAGAAAAGAGTGAGAAAGGGGCCTTTTGTTATGCTAACAAGGTGACTTTGCATCCAAGGTAGGGGGCTGGTTGCTTGAGGTGCCAACCTTGTGAGCAGAAGAATGGAACTTTCAGTCCCACTTCCTGACCCCCTCATTCCCAGGGAAGGGGAGACTGGCTGGGGGTTTAGTTCAAATCACCAATGGCCAATGATTTCATCCATCCTGCCTATGTAATGAAGGCTCCATGAAAACCCCTAAGGAACAGGGTTCAGAGAGCTTCCCCTTGGTGAACAGGTAGAGAAGCAGGGAACTGGGAGCATCAGAGAGTGTGGCAGCTCTGTACCCTTCCCCCAGACCTTGCCCTATGCCTCTCTTCCATCTGGCTGTTTCTGAATTATATCTTATTGTAATAAACCAGTGACCTGGGGAGTAAAATGTTTCTCTAAGTTTTGTGAGCCACTCTACAAAGTAATTGAACCTCTGGAGGGGTTCCTTCCCATCTATAGCCATTTGATCAGAAGCTCAGGTGACTCCAGATTCCAAATTGGCCTCAGAAGTGGGGGTGGGGTGAGGTCACTGTTACCTGACCAGGGGCTGGGTCAGGGGGGTCTGGCCCCATAGCTCTTTTCTAAAAGATGCTTTATAGGCCTGCAAGTGGAAAGAGTACCTCTGCAGTGTGAAACACTAGCTAGCATATTCAGAAACAGGAAAAGGCCATGTTTGATGTCAGAAGCTTTAAGTTCCCAAAGTGAAAAGATTGGGTCAGGGCCTGTGTCTTGTGGATTATCTGACCTTTAGAGCTGGCCCTGCAGTCTGACTTAGTACAATTTAGGAAATCAGGAGCTGCTGGGAGAACCACTCTCCCAGAGTGGGCGGCCGGCGGGATGCAGCCTCTATGTTTCCTCCAGAGACCCATGCAAGTCCTGGCTGAACCTGAGCAAGTCAGCTTGCTGGGGGCTGAGAGGGTTTCACACCTTAGGTCTGTGGGCCCAAGGATCCGTCAGAAGCCCCAGAGCTTCAGTGTGGGATTCCGAGGCTGAGTCTGTTACTGGCTACACTCCAGAATCTGATCTCCTCCCTCACTTTGAGACTTGACTCTTAGAAAGGAGCCAAAGGGAAATTGGGAAGCAATGAGACAGGCAAGGTTAGATTCTTACAATCAAAACATGGCATTTATAAGCCTCTTTCCCTTTATTTTATTATTAAACACTTAGAAATTTAGCTCAAATATTAGTATAGATTATTATATAAAATATAATTATTCGGTATTCTAATTTTTATTTATGACAGCCTTATAGTCATTATTATACATAGATTTATTTTTTAATGGATTCTATTTATTTATTTGACAGAGGGAGAGACAGCGAGAGAGAGAGAGAGAGAGAGAGAGAGAGAGCACAAGCAGGGGGAGTGGGAGAGGGAGAAGCAGGCCTCCCGCCAAGCAGGGAACCCAACGCGGGGCTCGATCCCAGGACCCCGGGCCGTTGCTTAACCCACTGAGCCACCCAGGCGACCCTACATAGATTTTTTTAGAGGGGGGCAGGGCAGAGGGAGAGGGAGAGAGAATCTTAGGCCGGCTCCATGCCTAGCGTGTGAGCCCAATGTAGGGCTTGAACACATGACCCTGAGGTCATGACCTGAGCTGAAATCAAGTCTCTGAAATCAAGTGTAGTGAGTATTTGATAAGCGAGTAAATTATTCTCTGTATGTTTCCCTTCCATTCTGTCTCCTCAATCGCAAGATTCCATGCTCTTGTTTCATGGAAGGCAGGTCCTTTTCCGCACAGGAAGTACCAGGAGTTTCAGGAAACTTAATTCTGGCTCCTGAAGGAGGTCGCGTTGAAACCCCTCAAAAGCATAAAGTTGCACAAAAAATCAAAATGGCTGCACGAGTGCTTCAGGGAAGATGGATTTCAAACTAAGGAACCTATTTCCTCTCTTCCCCTGGCCTCCCCTCCTCCCTTCCTAGCTTTGTGTTTCAGGAACCCCGTCGCACCCCGAGTCCTTCTGACGCACGAGGCTCGACTGCCGTCTGATCTCAGGCAGGAACTGTGCACACTGGTGGCTCCTGGTAGCCTGGCTGACCGGATCCTCTGCGCCCTCTTCGAGTAGCCATCATGGGGGGCGTGATCCGGTTCCTCTGGCGACACCTGCTTCTTCTGGGCCAGGTCCCACTCCCCTGTACGACGAGCTTTTGCCTGCTCTCCTGTGGTGCCCTGCATCACTCTAGAACATAAACACTGTCATTCCCTGTGGCCACAGCTGCCAGTGTTTTTCCCATTTCTGCCTCTGGTTTTGCCACCGGATCCGAGGGAGCTCGCCTCACATGCACCCTACTTGTGACCAACTCCTTCTTTGCCCCCACGCTCCTGTGGGCACTCAACCACTTTTCCTGAATGGGCGAGGAGCGCCACGGCTCAAGATTTGCAAGAGTTTCCCTGGGGCGTCATAGGTTCGGAGTGGGGGGGGGGGACTGTACGTGGCCGGGCCGCAGGCGGGGGCACCAACATGGACTAATCTATCAGAGAACAGGTGAGAAATGATGGTGGCCTGCAGAAGCATGTGACAATGGGTTTGTGGATGAATGAACAATGTTAAGTTTATTGAACAGGATTGGTGGAAGTTACAAAGTGGATGAATGCACAAATGAGAAGAATTAAAGAGTAATCAAGATATTTTAAGTGAGCAGCTCACTGCCAGGACAGACAATAGTGAATGAGGAGCAGTGTTCCAGATTTTACAGCCTAGTAAAATTCTCCAATGAAAACTCGCAAAGAAAACCAACCCCCAGTGGCCAGGCTTCCATTTTCCTAAGCTAAGAAAAATATGGTAAATGCATTATCTCAAAATTAAGAAGTCTTTCTGAATTGAATGCCTTTAACTTAATAGAATGCTCATTACGTTGACCTGATTGTTCTTATTCACCACTAACCACCCTGAGTCTGTAAACAATTAGAGACATGCATTCAGGATGGGACTGTCCACGGTGTCATGACCTGACAGAGGCCATAAGCTTCAGTGAGTATCTGGGAAGCAAGCGAGAAAAGAGGTTGGAATGAGTTCCATGTGGAAGAGAAATCATTGATAAAGGCGCTCAGGCGGTACTTGGCCTTGCTTTCCTGGGTCCTGAGTCCTCTGAGGGAACCTCCCTGGTTTACATCCTGGCATGCATTCCAAGGCCACTCACCACACCTTGGCTGAGCACCTCCTACCTTTATGCCAGGCTCAGCCCTTTCTCTGCGGGTTTTATGTGCTAGTGAATGAGTCCTCAAAGCTGCAGCCCCCCACCAGAGTCAGAGCACCCAGGAGCCTGAAGCTTAGCACCTCTGATTCTTGCTCTAGCGGTAAAATGGCAGTTGGGCAAAAAAAAAATTGGAATGGCCA